TGTGATAGGCGACAGAGGAGGACATCTTCCGGTTGGAGGAGTGGTGCATGGACATGGGAATAGGAGGAGGGGGGGAAGGTGGAGGCGGAGGGGGGGCAGAATGGTGACTGGTAGCCCTGGACCACAGAGATGCTCCAAGTCCTCCACTCAGAGAGCCCAGGCCTTCCAGACTGACATCAGTGCCATTGGTGTGGAAGTCGTTGTCTCCCTGCAGGTCCACAAAGGTTCCAGTTCGCAGGGTGATGTGGGTCTCGATCTCCTCTCTCGCTCGGTCCACATTTTCTGGCATCCCAGTCACCTCAAACACAGGGTCTTTCTCTCGACTAGGTGTCACAATGTAGGTGTGAGTCTGCTGCTGGATGCGCTTGATAGTTGCTCCCTTTGGTCCAACAACTAGACCAACAACTCTGTAGGGCACCCTGACCTGGATGAATGATATACAAATATTTTAATGTCTGAATAACAAAAACTTTACTTTCTAGAGATGTTAATAAAACTAACATCAAATAATTCCTTTGTTATCTGGCAAGCATAAAACAAAAACACAACATGATGACTAAGCCACAGGTTTTTGTACCTGTATGGTGGTCTGTCCAGGTAGGTGTGGTGGTCCAGGAAGCGAGCCCCCTCCACCAGGTCCTCCAGCTTTGCAGCGGGATGCCCGGATCATAGAGAAATGCTCCGCTGCAGAGACAATTTCACGTTTGGCCATCTCCACATCCTCCCTGCGTCCCGTCACGATGAAAACAGGATCCTCGCCCCTCACGGGAGTCTTTATGTAGGTGTTTGTTTTGGCACGCAAGGCCTTGATCTTACAACCTGGAAGGTGCAGAAAGGAGAAGCACACGGGCATTAGTTTTATAAAATAAACACAAAAATTTCAAATACACTTGTATATACACACTGTAGCTATAAAGTTATGGAATCAAATAAAATTGGTTCATTTAAACGCTCTGTTGCACGTTTATTAAGACATTGTTAAAACTAATTCTTTCTGATACAACTGACCTGCAATAAAACATTTTATCGAGGTTATAATGTTCAGTTTTTGTTGAAACCAAAAGATGCTGATCCAACTTTGTAGGTGGATTTTGGATGCTGCAGTTTGTGGTGCTAGCATTTTTAATATTTAGTCTACATTCATTGATATAAATTAAGGGGACAATATATTAAAACACCTCTTAGCATAAAGCAACAGTTCCAACAGCGCATAGAGTGCAGCTTTTAAAATGGCAATAAAGTTGAATCAACACCTCTCTAAAACAGCTGAAATGAAAACTGAACACTGAAAGGGATTATTGAAGGACTGTTGCATTAGCCTAATTGGTATATAAATAACTGTGATTATGTTCCATAAACAAACAAACACATAGTCAAATAAAAGCAGTTCAAATATATTTCTGAATATGTAGACAAATAGCTCAGCTGCATTGTGTGTAGTCGGTCCTGAATCTTCAAAAACAAACACCAGCAGGACAGAACTCCAACAAATGCACATTTTTATTATGGAAACCAACCATTCTCAAATGTATGTATTCATATCTAAATAACACTGAAAACAAACCCAGCAGCTATGTGGGATATTCATGAAGAGCCTGTCTGCCCAAATATACTGTCAATGGCTGCTGCACTGCTTGTGTCAACTCATGTTGCTCCACCAGCACCTACTGTGTGCTCTGTTTCTTTAAATATGGACGGTTCATTCCCGGCGACCAATAGGGCGCACAGAGTGTGATGTCATTCTGGGAAGCAGAAAGCATGGCTTTTTCAAACAAAGAGAACAATGCCATAATGCTACCGCGGCAGCGACGGGCAAACCAAACCCACAACATGATCCCGGTCAAAGTGTGCGGCATATGTTGGTAAAAACAAGAGAGAAAAATTACATGTATAAAATGCCGCGGCTCGTACGCCAGCAGCAGCATCGGCAGACAGAGCTGGGTGCAGGGCGTAACACCGCCCAGTCCCGTGTTTGTGCGCCTGCTGCCCCGTTTCAGCCTAAAATCTGCTCAGCAAAGACAATTAATCTGCCATAAACATATATATGAGTTAGGAATGTGAGTTCAGTGTTGAAATGTGCCACTAAAGATCTATGATATATAAAATGGGGATATTTCGGTGTATTTCCTTTGTTTGGTGCAGGCTCCTAGACATGTCCAGACTCCCGACAATCTGCCGCTTTGTCTGACCCTCTCCCACCCCTCCCCCTCCCTCCTACTCATCAACCACACTCTCTCACTCACTCTGTCAAGGCATTGTCTAAATACTACTAAAAACGGGATGCAAATACAGTAGGTATGGCATTTTAATGGAGTAGCCGCATTATGTTGGCTTTAAAGACCCAAACAGTTAGTGCAGTCCGACCAGAGCACCGAGCTCAGTCTGTAAAAAGTTCACAGACTCACCTCCTCACCAAGGAGCCACCCAAACAAAGAACAACCAGGCTGCATGCTGCCTGAACAAGCTGTCCATAAACATAAACAACATATAATTCCTCATTCGGAACAGCATCTCACACACACTCGTGCTCTTACCTTGTCTCCCCACTATTTCAGCCACATGTTCAGAGCTGGGGACAGGCACACATTCAGTCATGTTGACACTTCTTTTCCTGCTGCAGAGGACGGAGCTTTGTTCCCCGTGGAGCATGGAGTGCGAGCCGGTCATGTGGTACCCGCCCGAGCCGTAGTACTCCGGGGATGGAGAGCAGGACGTCGGGGAGTCCCGTGACCCGCCGGGATGCTCCAGCATCTGTAGGTCCACGTACCCCCCTCCACCCACACCGTTGCAGCTCTCAGAACCCGGACCCTGGTTCCCATCCAGAGTGTCCACCAGCCCGCCTCCTCCGCTGCCACCGCCGCCCCCACAGTCCACTTTCTCCAGGGCCATGAGTGACAGCTGGTCCAGGGCAAAGCGAAGCGCCTCTTGGTGGTCCTCTTCCCGGGACTCCTGGTCTGTCTCTCGGGGCAGACCGACCCCGTTGTGCTGGCTGCTGATCACCACGTCGTGGTCCATAATCTCGGGGTGGAATAAAGGGCTAGGCATAGTCTCTCCGTGGATCTCACATCAGATCACGGATGCCTGTTTGTTGGGAGTGAGCTCACCCTGCTCTTCTTCCTCTGAAATAAAAATGGGAAAACAACAAAAAGTCAAGTGTTTGTTTATCATTAAACACACAAAACAAGGCTGGGGGTGAGCCCCGTGGAGCCACAGATCATTCATAAACACCAGCAGACAGTAACAGTGTTGATTTGGGCGCCTTGCTTTGTCTGTTGTTGCTTCTTGTCTGACAACTGAAGCCATCCAGGCTGGTTGTTTTGTCAGGATAAAGCATGCCCGCCTTAACACAAGTGAACAAACTATTTCCCCGCACCGATAAGAAGAACCATTGTGGTACTAACTTCAGTCACACCTGTATGTGTTGCTCGAAATAAAAAAAAATGTAGATAAAAGAAGGATATAAGCTGTTGTTAGCTTCACCAGCCAAGCTAACAGGCTAGCTCCACATAGTCGGCACTCAGTCACGTTGTCGACCCCTTTGTTTGGGAGCACCACAGCTAGCTGTTAGCTCTGTTCTGTCAGCCGAACTTAGGCTCTTTCTCAAAGGCAGCCGTGTTGATTTTTAAAATTAAACAAGTGCTAAAACCACGCGAACTTACTTTATCTTGCCTTCGTCGACGAGGTCCTGTCTTCGGCTGTCGCCCAGCTCTTGAGGGAAAGATGAGAAGCAGCCAGGAGGAGAAGGAGAAGGTGGAGGAGGAGGAGGAGACCAACGTTGTGCTGTGCAGCGCTAGGAGCTAGCGGGTTAGCTAACTAGCAGGCAAAAAGGGGGGCGTAGGAGAAAAACGTTTAAAAACGCAAGGAGGGCACTGTTGTTTTTTCTCTGTCTGGAGAGTCAAACCATACTCCTGGGAGTGTCACTGGGTCCTCATTCTGCGTACCGTCAGGGAGACCGCAGCTCAAATCCAAGGTTAGCGGTTACCTTTAGTTAAAAAAAACAGTGATTCTCGGCTCAGTGCTGCTGCCTGACCCCGGTCGGTCCGCCGCCTTTGTCTCGCCAGGCGCACGCCGCTCCGTCTCCCGCACACGGCACTGACGTCACCCGCGACACAACAATGGGTTCAAAGGCCACATGCAGCAAGGGGAGAGCATCAACGCAAAGACACTGTCACTGCCATTGTGTCTGCAGGGCACTATTTTATTTTCCTCCTATAGACCTTGTTTTTGTATCCTGACTGCTGATAAAATGTGGTCACGGCTGGGTGTGTTCATCATGGCTACCAATGAGGTGTTTTGGGTGGTCCAACTACAGCACTGAATGATGCTTATGCAGTGTGTGTGTATGTGTATGCATTTATTTGTGTTCTCTAGGTTATTAAAAATTAACAATAAAAGGAATCACATAAGGGCAATGGGTTCATTTCAAATCATGCAAACAGTTAAATAAAATATTCAAAGCAAAACCTTCCCTCATACCAACAGTTGAAAGATATCAGTTTTAAGGACAGGTTTGTATTTTTTCAAGTTTATCTTAATACAACATCCACATGCCCACACCTACACTAAAAGTGTTCTTGGTCGTTGTGATTATTCCTGTTGTCCATGCTGCCTGTTAAGTGATTCCTTTGATTTTTTTTGAGTAACAAATTCCCTCTTTGTGTTTTCTTGCAGAGCTGTGGTGGAGCGATAGTGACACAAAGGGGGAATTTAGGACTAAAAAGATAAATTCTTGGTTTGACTAACTGCTGTAGCCTCATTTTAGCTGTGGATGCATGACTGCAGATTTCATTTTGCTTTGAGAAGGGATCTCTTTTACAGCCAGACGTGCATACGGGCATGAAGGTATTGTTTTAAGATAGGCTTCTTAAAAGGAAGAAAGGACCACTATCTTAATCCTAAAACTTGTGTCCATCTACCTCAGCCTCCTAAGTGTATGAATGGTAATGATCAAAAAATAAATAAATAAATGACACACTCTACACCATTAACAAAAGAGCTGCATTTATTTGACAGTGATACAGAGACAAATAATGAATCTTGTAATGAGGTACAGTACATCAGGTTATGAGGTACATCAGTGTTGTATTTGTTTTTGTATTTTCTGAGGGTATACATCTTTTCTTTTTCTTTCTTCAAATGCAGTTGGCAAAACAATACAGACAATTCTTCTATTAATACAAATGACATGGCCCGAACTTTAAAACCATGTAAACTCCGATTATTGTGAGAATAACACCACTTTGAACTGTAAACCTTGAATCAGTCTAAATGTGATTATTCACAGCCACAAGAGTGCTGTGTGCATGTAAACATACTGCAAACTACACAACACTACCTACAGTGCCAGAGTTCAAATATAAAAGAGCAACATGTTCTTGTTGAACAGTTAAAAAGAAACACCATTAGAGGTTCTGAACACAAACTGATACAACACACACACACACACACACAAACAGACACACAGACAGACACACACACTTTTCACTCACATACATCAGGTTTGTGTTTTTAACTTTGAGCTTGAATAGCTGTTAACAGAGTGTAACACTGCATTGTTTAGAGCACCATCCAAAACTGTCATACATTGGTAGAGGTAAAAATGAACTGAAAATTAAAACTCAAAGCACCCTTCAGGATTACATGGTCACATGTAAAAAATAAAAATTTAAGAAACAAAGTCTTTGTTTAGGTTAACAAAATCTGCAGAATGTCTGCACTTAGGGTCTATTTGTTAAAAGTGTATAAAAAAAATCTTCATGGATCCAATTATTTGAAAATAAAATGGAGTTCACCAGTAAACCTCATGTCAAACAAGCCTGTGGGAGAGATGAGACAGAGAGATGTTACATGTTTAGGAGTTTACTTAAGTGCATAACAGTTTAAGATAATCAAAGGCAACATGATGGCAGCAATACGCTAATCATTACTGTGTACCTTGGCTATAATTCCTCCTTGTCCACCTGCTCAACCTTTTCCTCTACTTTGCTGGCTGCTGCCTCTGCAGTGGTGTCCTCTATATGAGCCAACATGTCAGCCATAAGGGCTTCCTCAAGCCGCCTCCTCACATTCTGCACCAGGTCCTCCTGCTTCCTGGAAGACACAGACAAGGAAAAAAATTGCTGCTGGTGCTAACGAAAACAAACTTATCATGGCAAAGACTTGATAATTATGAACAGTATTTACTTTAAACATCCTCACAACTAATGTAATGTGTGTGTAGCAATTTAATGTGTTCATTTATTGTGCACAATCTTTACTTTGTTGTTAGAAATAATATATTATCTGATGGCCACCAAAGCACTGTGCAGTGCAAATTTAAGCCTGAGCAGTTTTGGCACGATTGACTGAAGCGAGAGTTCCCCTAATCCTGGCAGTGTCTCGGCACTCATCACCCATTGAACTTAACAAGTTCAAAGCAGCAACACATGACAACAGTACAGTACAGTAGGGTGTATAATATATCAGCATCTGCCACAGCCACCCATTTAGTCAGACCAGGGATGTCACAAGAACCGATACTTCAGTACCAAGTCGATGCCAAAATTCTGTCTGTAGTTATTTTTCTACAATACCATAGGAATTGAAGACACTGTAGATGTCAAAGCTACTGGAGATGTGACTCTTCTACTGAAGCGTTCTAGTCTAATGCTGGACTCAAAGAGAAGAAGAAGACAGGGACAGTAAACAATAACATGTGGAATGGCACGGGAGGCAACAGGTCCTCTGCAACTTGTGGAAAAAAACTCTTGTGATTGGTACAGACTACCAAATTTCTGGTATCTTGACATTCCTACATCAGCCTATGTATACGATGAAAGGTTACTTAGCTGTGACATTCAGTTGTGAGCGACCCATTTTGACTGTTTTAACCAAGGACTCTTGATCTCCTCATTGCAATAGTGATTCAGTGTCCAAAATGACAACAATTCACCATTGGATTAAAAAAAGTCAGTTAGTTTTTAGTGTCAATACATAAAAAAAAAAATACAGGGTATGTCTGGCAATAATATTTAGACCCCTGTTGCCAGTGCACTAGACCCACAATTGTGGCCATTCAGGAACCATCTCTCCTAACCCAACTACTGAACAGTATGTATTGTGTATTTTTGTGTCATTTATAGTACATCATCTGGTAAACCTGTTGGTAAAACATCAAAACAATAGGAGAGGCTATTGATCATTTTAAAAGCATGGATTATCAACAGAAAAGATGAAAAGTAGAAAACAGCAACTTCCTCTTCACAATACTAGAGCATTACTAGAGCTAAAAAAAAAAAACGAGAGTAGTGTAGTGACAACAATACAGTACTGTTCACCCCAGCACATTTTAAACTTGGTGCTCTTTCTCACGCAGACGACACATGTATACTCCATGTAACAGCAATAACAACAATTTAACTTAACATCATTACCCCAAACTAATTCACATTGACATTTTGAATGGCCACCTTAACCAGAACCCTATAAATGACAAAAACATCTACTTAAAAAGAAGCCACCAGCAAGTGCATACAGCTGGGCTGTATGTTTGAACATCTTACCTGATGTCATCATCAGTCACTACGAAGGCTTTGCAAAGAGGCTGTGCTGTGTTGAGCCAGACTCCAGGATTTTTCTCCACTGCAGCGGTGAGCTGTCCAGTGACTGGCGAGGGGCTGGTGTGCAGCGCACTGGCGATGGAAGAAAGCAATGTTTTATCTGAACAGGCAGGGCCAACACCTAAGGAGAGTTAAAAAAGCAGAGGCACAGGTCAAGCTTGTTGAAAATTATCACTTGGAATAGTATATATTAGTCAAGTCTTTAGGTTACTCTTACCCTGTAAACCTTTAGGAAGATCCATAGTTTTCACCAGTTCCTCTGCAATATCAAATGCATTTAACCCGCTCAACTTCCTCTCCCAGAACAGCTGAAGATTCAAGCAAACCAAAAAAACAAGAAAGTCCTTGTTAAATTTTGAACACATTAGGATATCTGTACTAGGACAAATTAACCCTTTAATACTTTCTAAAAAAATGGAAAAGCCACAACCGAGTCATGACAAATCACCACTCACAACTTGCAAGTACAGCAATTTCCTTTGACTCACTTGCAATTTTATAATATCAACAGCAATGATTTGTACTGTTTACTGACGAAGCTAAAAACTAAAACAAAAAAAAAGCATGAAAAAGAGAGAAGAACTGAAATGAGCATGTTTTCTGCCCTCTGACTTACTTGTTTGGGTTGGTCCACAGCCTTCTGTGGGTCAGTCTTCACCTTGTTGTTGGGGTGATTTGTTACTTTGGTCACTGGCTGTTTGAAGATGGACGCTGTCTGTCGAACTGGTAGTGTTGTGTTCAAGTCAGGCTTGGCCTTTAAGAGAAAAAAAACACGACTGATTGGCCAAAATTCTGATAATTATATTTTATCAGTTTTCTATCATAATAAAATAAGAATATGGTATTTAGAATTATGTCAGTTTCACAAGGCACTGAATATTCCTCGCAATACAGTCACTGGTTAACCATAAAACAATGTCTGTGGGAGAGGTTTACCAGTAAGGAAGGCAACAATGTGGACTGCGCCAACTCTTCAAGGTTGAATATGTAACTTTTCCACGTTAAAATGTCTAAAAATAACTAGACCTGTGTTTTATATTTTCTTTAGTTGTATACTTACATTATCCCAAATGTTTCTAGCAATTTTCAAGCCTAGAGAAACCTGTGATTTTAATCATGGTAACAGTGCGTTTCATTTGGTCGCCTGTCAATGGCGTCATATCCCCATTACGCATGTGTCAACATTGTGGTCGTCTGTCAGAAGTGGTCAAAATTGACTTTTTATCCAGTTTTAAGCCACATTTTTACATTACACTTTTCAGATCTTGGTCATTTTTAACCGGAAGAAACATTTTAGTCATCAGACATCTGGATCTTAAGTTAACAGAGTTACAAACAGAGTAAACGTTAGCAGCAGTTGTAGAAACACTGATTTTTAAGTTGAAACTGACACTGAGGAAATCCTAACCAGAGGTAGCTGACTGCAATGGCAGTAATGGTGATGAAGACAACTCCTCCCATGTTCCCATGCAACTTCACGACGTCAACAAGCCGTCTCTTGTTATTGTTTTGATTGAGAGATCTCTAGCAGCAGAAAATTACATTTTGTGCATTTAAATAGCTACAGAGTTCCCCTGCTCACTGCTAATATGTAGATGTGTCCAAAATCCCTCCTAACTTTCTACCAAGTACACGAGATATAGTGTCAAAATTCTACTTTTAAATTATGTCAGAAATCTAAATTTACTAGACTAATCTATTAAATCTTTATTATGTAGATCATAGTGAGGGAGTGAAGAAGAGTGATTTCAGACAAAGCAACTGTGCAACACAACTGCTGCTATGGCGACTTATCATTTGCAGCTTTATAGCTGACTGGCACAGAAAGCCACTGTTTAAAAAAAGAAAGAAAGGAAAAAAAAAAAAAAAAGAAGAAGTCTCATGACATCTTAACTACTATTTGCCCGAAGGCACATGGGAGACTTTGAAGTGGAAGAAGGTTGTATGATTTAATGACATCTAAACTGAGCTTTTTAGCTGTATTCTTTATATAAAATGCCTTCTCCTGAGTTCAAAACAAAACTGTGGATGTGTCCTGGAATGGCCAAATCAGTCCAGGATTGAATTAATCCGAAATTTGTCTGGATTAGGAAAAATGCATTGTCTAGATGTACAACGCTGATACAGACCTATGCACAAAGAATCAAGCCTGACATTACTTTCAAAGATAGCTCCACTGTTCACTCTGGTTCACTTTAACATTGAAGACTCATCACTCTCAAATAAGCATCATTAAAATCACTGTCATACAATTATGTAAAACAATTACGTGAAAAAGTCTAGGGGAGTTAAACATGCCTCATAATACCAAAAGCAAACACAGTCTCACCCTGATTTGATGGTTGATGTTGTAGAGATTCTTGTGCCTGCTGCGCTGCACTTTGGTCAGGAGCAACCGTCCTCCCCGGGAGTGGCTGGCACTCACATCTGTGTGAAGGTTGCTGCCCAGACCACGGACTATCTGGGGCTTGTTCAGGATACACTTAACAGGCGCACTAGAAAGAAAACCAGAAACTTCATCATCACACAACCAGTGATCATTTCAACTGAAGAATTAAAGCAATTATGGCCCTGAACACCCACACATGGCTTCTCAGTCAATTCTGAATGACTGGACCTTTTCACAGGCAGATGCTGGACTTGGTTTTCTGAGGTCACCTAACTGTATAGAACTTTAAAAAGGATCAAAAGGTTGTTGTTACCTGCCTGACAGGTGCAATGACAAGGAGTCAGGAGGTGTCAATCAAGCACATTTCACCCACTCTGAAAGAGGTGTAATCAGTTAAAGTGAAAAACACCTGTGTGGATGCTTTAAGGTGGATTTATTAACTGATACAGTTTTGTAGTTGAAAAACATTAAGGCTGGCTGCCTCTTCAAGCTGTGTGCTCGGAGTGACGTATAACTATTTAAGGGACTTGCAAGCAGATAAATCGGCGGTGAGCCACTCGTGAAGCAGCATATTCCTCGCCTCCAAGTTTTAACAAGGTCCCTTTGACGTAGTCGTGATTTTTGTACCCGTATTTTTCATATAACTGGCCTAAGTGTGCCGGGGCCCATCGCACCGCAAGTCAAGCGTGTGTAAACAATGAAACTTAGCTAGCTAATCAAGCTAGCAGCGTCGTTAACGTCAACGTACCAGCAGCGACCAGCATTATCAATTACTGTTGCTTAAAGTTTCCTAACATCACGAAACCAAAAACTCCCTCGACCCTACGTTTACCTTCTGTAATACAAAGTGTAAATAAATAACCTAGACCTGTTCATTTGCTGCTGAGTGTTTCTCAACTACAAAACGCATGTCTCTATGTATGCATGCGTGCGTGCATTTCCTGCAGAGAAACTTTCATTTTAACATCTCCTTCGACTACACATTTAAAACTCCCACCTCTTTCTTTCCATGGTCCCGGTTGTCTTGATTTGCTTGCCTCTGATTACTGGCTCGAGAGAAATAAGAAGCCAGCTCGCTGCTTCTTACTTCAGTCATGAATTTACACCGAGTCCGGTTTGTTATCGATCCCCGCTGTCTGTCTCCCGTCAGGACCTTTACAACTGTAGATCACTCCGCCAACCCCGTAACATAATAAGCACTGTAATCCATCCGCCGCACTCTTGTAAACTAGTACGAAAATGATTTCATAGCAACCTTGCAGTACCTTACTTAGATATTTCAATGTTGTACAACTTTGTAATCATACTCCACTATACTGTACCTTTGAGGGGAAATATTGTACTATTGGTAAATAAACCAATGCATTAATATTTTACATTTAAGTTGTGATTACTTTAGATAAAGCTGTACTTCAAACTACTACATAAAAGTAAATAGTGGTATAAGTACTTTGACATAGCACCACCAGGACCTGCTACAACATTAAAATGCTGCTCACAGGTAAACATAATAAATACTTGTACTTGTATGCACTTTGCTGCTAATACTTTCAGTGGACTGGAAATTCAGTGAATTTACATTGCATTTGATTGTAGATAACTCGTTTGACTTGGAAAGGTATGAGATTTAAAGACCTAGAAATACCTGTTATGCAGATACACAATACAAGAAAAGCAGCCCTACTATCAGACATCAACACTGGAAACTGCACCTCACTTCCAAATCAATTGACTGGACTGGTTGTGTAACAGTGTTAGTCTTATTGTCTGTCAGCACATGAGTAAAACAGGCTTACAGTTTGAAACATAAAATACTGGATTTTTATCCCTAATCAAACAATCTTTCTTTAAATATACCTTTGAAATTATGATTAAAACATGACTGATTAGGCTCATAAATGCCAGATGAACACAGTGGAGGCACAATTCAATTACTATGACTTTCAGTCAGTGATGTGACACAGTACAAGTCCAAACTCCACTCATGAGTCTGCACCCGGCACAAAATCATCAATCAACCCATAGCAAGTGCAATAATTACACACAACCACAACATGAGGTAAATCTCACATACTTTACTTCTTCTCTTCAAAACAATTACAGCATGACATGAATAACAGATTTTTATTTGTTTTGATCCATGGTACACAGGGGACTGATGATTAAAATAAATATCTGAACCCAAACCCAACAGGAAAAGAAAAGAAAAGTCCATTTATCATCTCTGTTTTCATTTTTCTTCCATTCATGTTTTCACTGGTGGAGGGAAGTTGAAATGCCAAACCCTGGTACATTGCAGTTGGATGTTGATGGGGAACAATTCAATGTTGACTGAGCTGCAGGATGAAGACGACAGGCTTTCCAGTGGCCTGGCATTCAGGTGGACAACAGTGCAAGGTATCGGCTGCAGCAGATCTTGTTCATTATTCAAGTCTTTGTGTAGTAAAACAGCACCGACCTGGCAGCAGAAAACAAAGAGTCATTATGTTGTACAGTAGAAATGTAGGTTTTGCTGTAACAGGCAAATCAAATACCGAGACTGGAAGGAAAGTTGAGTTTGAGTGACATGGTTGGGAGTATGAGCATTTCACTTATAAGCACGTTTATGTTTTTGTTCAGCAATTAGACCTTATTCTGAAAACACTACCCAAATCTAACTCATCCTACATCTTAATCCAAGATTTGTGGGTGAAACCAAAGGTTTAAATGCTACACATTTCCAGTGGTTGAAGGCTTTTCAGGCATTTCTTTCTTATTAGAAGCTGCCACATACAGTACAGCCTTAAAATAGACCACTGTCCTGGATTCTGGTCTCCTGACACCTCTAAACTGCCCAGCTTATTGTCTCTGAATTTCACTCCGTTTGTCATTTCCACAGTTCTGACAGTTTTCTAGTCCCTGGTGATGAGGAGTACTCCACAAATATCTTGCTGCCACCACTATGATTCTTTAAAAAAAAAACTTATTAGCCAGGTGATGACATGTATCTTTTATTGTCCAAGGTAGCACTTAGTGTTCACAAAAAAACATTTTCTGTCGGATTAAAGAATCTTTCCCTCATCACCTTTTCACATGGATGGTGCATAATGAGCTCCTGGAAATGTTCACTGCAGGTCAGTACGATGAGAACAATCAGTGTTTACACACAACCAGATAATGACCCAACATGAATAAACTTCAAAGGACGATTTGATCTGTCAAGTCGTCTTTTTTTGGAAATCTCACATTCCCTCATCACAATTTCCATCTTGACATTGTTAAAGCAATCACACTCAAAGATGTGTTTGAGAATATTAAAATTGCTCTGGTTATTCTCCTACTTAGGGCATTAGCAACATACAGAGAAAGATTTTAGGATTATGACTTTCTTTGACTCTCGGCTTGTTAAACTAGCAAAATGTGTAAACAGGGAAAGTGCATTAAGTCACAACTGCCCGACACAAAAATGCAGTTTCTGAGTTGTTTCAGAGTAAGCTACATTGCCTATGTTCATTTAAATAAAGAAATATGTCACAATTCAGCAATATGGCTGTGATATGTGTTTAATAATTTAAGGACTAACATAGTTCCATCAGATTGAGGCATAAAGTAATATTGGACTGTGATCACTCAGACGATACATGTTAACAGGACTAATTACTTAAACAGGGGCAAATCTCCACCCAGTGCTGTCTGTGGTCCCTGGATGTAGGTCTGCCTCTGTTTCCATTATTTATTTGTGCATGAGTGCTGCTCTTGTGTGTCATTTTGCATCTGTTCTCTTTGCTGTGCTGCAACAATAGTGGGAAGGAAAAAAAAAGATCATCTATGCCCAACAAACATGTAATATGTGAAAAGACACATGGCATTTTTATGCCTGTGAGGACCAAGTGTGAAGGGTAGTAGCACTACCTTACACAGTGAGACAGTAGACTTTAATGCTGCAGGCAAATTAGTGTGTGCCTTTTTAAAATCATGAACAACACTGTGAATTTGCTACAGGTGGGAAAAGAATGTGTAATCTTATCAATATGGAGAATTTGGAGCAAAGGGTCTTAAAATATACTAAAACACCCGTTCTGTATTAATATTAAACTAAAGTCAGATTTTTTTGTCTAGATTAATAGAAACAGATAACTAGAGAGCATTTTGAATTCAGACAATAATACAAAATGCAAGAAATGCGACTGAACAGTTAGAGCAGTAAATCAAAAGCCAAATTTAGATGTATAGATTGGAACTGAGCAGGCCCATACTACATATGTACAGCAGACAGTGTCAGGTTCTTGTTTCTGGCTTTAAAAGATGCAGTGGGTGCAGAAATATTGACCCTGACTGTGATTATTGAGCCAAAAATAAAAACAAGCAAAAAAAAGTGGTAGTGCTTTAACTGTCCTTATTCATCTAGTGCCTTCCCACCTCCGCCACTTTTACTCAATGTCTGCAGTTATCTCTTACCTGTGTGCCACTACTCGTCCTTTTTGAATTTGCCACTGATGTAAGGAACATAATCCAAAAACAATCGCCAGTCTGTGAAGTGGACCAGAGCTACGCCTCCAGCTGTGCCCCATACAGCCAGAGTTGGGATCCTGAGGAGTAGAGAACATTGTAAACATTTTTCTTGAATTCAAAGTGAAAATACAATGAAATCAATAAAAGTGATCAGAGAAAAAAAAACAATACACAATTTTGACTTTGGTAACATTCTTAAGTATTTTAGGGAAAAAACACACAAATATTAATAAATACTACAGGTCAAGTTAAAGAGGCAGGTTGTTGTTTTGTGGAGTAAAGATTCAGTTGATTTGTCAGCTAGAAAATTACTCTTTGAACAATAAATATCAAACACCCAAGCTACAAATTTTGTGTAATGCACCACAAAAAGCAATTTTAACCTTGATAGTCGGCAGTTTGTTTATTGTGTTAAAACTAAAAAGTTCCACAAATACAAATGTGAGGAGTTGCTTTTGCAACATTATTTTGACAGTAGACTCTTGCAGATGATATGACTGATTGACAAATTATCTACCTGACTAATCTATAATAAAAACAACAGTTACAGCCCTTCAAATGAGACCAGGTAGCTAGTTGGTTAAATTAAACATCTATTCTTTCAGAATTGATGCATGAAATTCACTTTTGCTGCTTTTGCTTTTAAAGAAAAGGTAACGATTTTGTATTACTTCAAAAATGTATTTTTGTATTACTTCAAAAATGTATTTTTAACCATTTTGCCTGAGCTTAGCTGTCAGTGAGCTGAAGTCAGTTTGTCCCCACAGCGATGACCTCGGCTAAGCTAACAGCTAGCCAAGGACACATTGAGACTCTGTCAGCCCATGTCTTTCTTCTTTATGCTTTTACGAATGATACGATATAAAAACACATCTTACCATGATTTGGCCATGGACACATACTTCTGACCGACCAGTTTACTGATCATTTTGGCTGAAATATGTCCTCCTAACGCTGGACCCGCCGCCTTAGAAACTGAAAAGAACTTCCGATTTTCGATTGCTGACTACACCTCCTGCGCATGTGCCGAGAGTACTTCCGGCTATCCAAAAGCTAAAAGTCCCTTACAACAATAAAAGCCGGAGAAAACTGACAGTCCATGCCATTATTACCTAATGGGTGAGTCCTGTCGGTAAGGGCGCCTTGTGTCAAAAATACTTATATACGCCTTTACTGACTCAGCTTATATTGCGCCTACATGGTGAACATGCCCTGTTGAGTGTTTACTCAAATGAACATTTACTAATTTACACACGCAAAATCTAGAGCCAGGTAGTACTCCAGCACAGGAGCACTAATTTGCTTCTGGGGCTTTGTACAAAATGTAATGAAGCTGCAATGTGTAATCAACTGAGTGCAGTGTACTTTACAGTGGGAGGTGACAGTACAACTAAGTTCTGCCCCCTAGCGGACAAATCAACCTTTGGGAAATCTATTGCTGCCAATCCATGAAACCCTCTACTTGCTTGGCCTGTCTTAGTTGGGTAAACTCACTTTCACCAATAGACTATCAAGTAGATCACCTCAATCATGGTTCACTTACCTTGCATTGCAGAAAGGAAACTTCAATTAAGTGTTTTTTGATTTATGGAAAAAGTCATTGGAAAAAGGTGGGCTTTGTTATTAAAAATGGCACATTTATTGCTACATTACTGTTATAGACACAACAGTTCTCGTTATCTACTTTATATATAAAAAATAGGAAACTGGAGGCACTTTGAGGACATAGCCTACATAGATGTTGTCCCCAAACATGAGTTAAAACAGAGAGATCTGCAGCAGGTCATCTGTTGTGGAGGACAGAAAGGGTTTGATAACAGCTGCATGTTTTGATACTTAGATATTGTAAACATACATATCTTTCGTGTAAAGAAATAAAAGCACAAGCCTTCAGTAGCGATCTTCCATATCACAACACTATGTTTCCCTGTGGAAAGGCTAGAGTAGAAAGAAGAAAATAATGTTTGGGGCTAGTCCATGGGGCAAGATTTATGAGGAAATGACAGGCAGAGGTAAACCAAATACTGTTACCTATCAGTATCAGCTTATAGTGATAAAGCTGATAAGGACATATTATACAGCTGTACATACATATCAATGCACATGCCAGTAGGACAAAATTATATTCAACAGAATCAGTACATAAAAGATGAGGAATTTTAAGCACAGTTTTTCAGTGTCAAAGTTGTAGACCAGGTTATTAGTCGAATTACATCTAATGACAGACACTGAGGCAGTCAGTGTCGATGAGTGTAATTCTTCATTTAGATGTTCTGAGACACTGTCAGATGTTACTGAAGTATATATGCTTTTATACATCTATAGTATAAAAAAAGGTACAACCTATAAATCCATAAATGTAACATCATCCACCATGTAGCAGAGAAGTATGCAGGCACTGGTGAGTAACCATTATCAAAACTCCCAAAGTCAGGAAAATGACTAAGGCCACCCTTTTTGATTCATTTTATGCTTCATAACATAATGAAACATTGACTTATGTTGCAGATTGTGCAGACCGCCCCTTCTACCCCTTCTTCAAACTAAGCAACAAGCTCATCACAGAGCTGGACATCAAGGAGAGGAGAGGGGGGTGTGCTGAAGAAAAAAATTGTGTTTCATTCAAAGAAAAACTGTCGCAAACACCAGAGCAATTCAATTACAACTGGCCTGACAGGTTTGTGTTCAAACAGGCAAGTTTTTTTTTTGTTTGTTTGTTTTTTTTAAAAGAGCAATATCACAACATGTGATGTTACAGCCAGATCATTTTGTCATTTCTAACATTTTCTAAGCACCTGGCACAAAAGAAAACACCTCAGTTTGTTCCTGGAATCTAAATTGAGAGTTGTCTTACATTTAATTGATGTAAACAAAAAAGAAAGCATTCCAAATGATAGAACAAAACTCATACAACTATCTTACAAAGTAAAAAATAAACTAAAAAAACATTAGATCAATTCTACAAAAGGAAGATCCATACAACAGGCTTTGTAATTGTTCAAAAAGGGAAAAAAAATAAACAAAACCCCAAATGCTCAACACAGAGCAACAACCAAAACAAGTCAGTCAGTGAAGGTAGCAGTAAAACTTATGACTCCTTCAATACTCAGTTATTTCTGCCTTCTAGCAAAATGTTATTGACCACAATAGAAGTTGCTCTGAGACTTACTTTAAGTAAGTTCACCATGTTGTAACAGTGTCTTTATGTATGATTTGATGTGGTCAGGCTGTGATCACACGACATTGGCTGTGTTAGTCAGAGGGTCCATGCTGACCACATGGCTGAGACTGACGCTGAGTGACTGACTTCATGATGGCTTAAAATGTGAGGACGACACCTGTATGCTTCCAACGGCAGCCTCACAGAGGGAAGGTTGGGATGTCCATGTGCACATTTGATTCAACACCACTGTGGATCCTGCATTTGTAAAGTCTTTGTTTGTGTTTGTGTCGGTGGTGGCTCTCTCTCCGGCAGTCTTTCCATTCCACTTGCATGGCAGTGACAATAACACATGTACAGGACTTACTTAAAGAGATAATAACCAGGGATCCGAGTTTAAAAAGAAACAAACATTTCTCACCACATGTGTGAGTCACTGACTACGGCACCTTTTCAGCCAAAGGAAAAAAAAAAAAAAAACAACACAGCCAGAATTACCAGCATATCAAGAAGAGGAGTCAGCTCTTTGATTGCCCAGTCAGTGGCTTCTTCAAACCTACTTTTGTTATTCAGTCATCACATTTGAGGATGGCAATGATGACAGTTTTTGTCTTAACCAAACACTATACATTAGGCCTGTTTTAGGCACATTTTCAAAAAGGTATTTGTTCAGTCATAACATATAAACTCAGGTGTCCGTCTTTGCTTCTGCAGAATGTAAGACCTTCTTTTCAGATGGGAATGCCAATAATTATCCAACGATACAAATCCTAACTCTGCTCACATGAGCAATTGATCCAAAAGTTTTAATTGATCCACACAGGTTTTGCTCCCAACATGTAAAGCGATTTTTCAAAATGTCTTACAAAAACATGATCACAAGAGCATCTTTGTGTCCAATTTCCACTGTCTCCAAGCCAGTGTCCTCGGCTCAAAGTATTGTCATGTAAAGAGTAATTTTTTCTTTTTTCTCTTTCTGTATGAGTGTGCTTCTTCGTCAGGAATGTGGCCACCTGCTTTGTCAGTAATGAGGCGCGCGCGTGTGTGTGTGTGTGTGTGTGTGTGTGTGTGTGTGTGTGTGTGTGTATGTGCTTTCCAAAGGTTGAGAAACACACACTGAGATGCATGACAACAATAGATTAAGGCCACGTGTTCTAAGGGCTGTACAATCAAGAGAAACTGGAAGAGAAAGAAAAAAGAAATGAATATATTTCCACAAAATGAACTTAAAACAAGCAACAGATATATGTATTTTTCATTGTGTTATCTTGCAGACATGACAAATCCCACTGTAGAGATTCTAAAGACTGACCTGAAAATTACATATGGCTAACAGGGTTGTGTCCATCTCCTCCTAAACCAGGGTGACCGCCACCAAGCTGCATTTGGGGATCCACACTCGACACTTTTTCCTCCTCCCTCCTCTTGAGGCAGGCAGCCTTTGGGTTCAAATTACGCTCTTTGAAAAAAATGACATATACACTGATTAAAAACACCAGCAAGGAAACATTTGAGTTTATCTCATACAACAGGGCAAAAATAAGACAGAGGGAAATAGAAAAGGGGGAAAAGCAAGACAGGAAAATGAGAAGTAGGATGAGACTGCAGGATTTTTGGCTGAACAGCAGGGATATACCTCCTCCAATATTCTCCCTTTCACCTCCTTTCTTCATTTTGCAATGTGATACAGGCAAATAGCAAAGAGAAATTCAAAGTAGATGTTACTCAGTAGGTGGGAAAACCTTAAAGGTGAATGACTGACAGCTTCTGTCCAGCTATGATAATAGATGGTTGGTTGTCTATGTGGATCAGATCTTCCTGTATTGGCTGACCTACCTCGCACCTGCTTCTCCAGGCCCAGGATGACCTGGACAGCCTGTTGCAGGATGACAAGCTTGGTCTGGGCCTTGTCGCTCTGCAGGTGGACCTGACACATCCTGCCCAGCTCTCTGAAGGCTTCGTTAATGTCGCGAACACGCACCCTCTCCCTAGCGTTGTTAGCTAGGCGGCGCTCACGCTCCCTCTGCTCCTTCTCCTCAGCAGTCAGGTTCTCATCAGTCACCGAGACAATGCTGCAGCCGGAAGGAGAAGGGAGGAGGGGGGTTGGAGGGGCTGGTTAACAAACCCAGATCACAACCCTTGCTGAACCTAGGCTAGACGTTCTCATTAAAACGTCTAGCCTCTCATTAAAATTATACTAACTAATTAAAGTTACGCTGGTTAAAACCTACAGTATATTGCTATGTTTAACTGTGTTTTTCCTCCTCAGAATTGTTCTGTTGTTGAGAAATATTTTAAGTATGATGCTAACTTCAAGTTCTTAGGCCGGGAGAAACCAGTGAGACTGCAAAAGATGATCCCAGTGGAATGGGGCTTTGTTGCAGGAAAGTGAACGGACGGGTGAAAATTGAAAAAATATATCTACAGTATGAAAATGATGAATAATACATCTTTATAAAAATTAACTGATGTATTCTCAAACAGTCAAACTGTAAATGTTGGGGGTTGAGCTGCCAAGAACAGATATACTGAGTGACCAGATCTAATAAATCTGTCCTGAGGTCTAAGGAACCAACACAGATTTTTTTTCCTTTTTGGTCATTGGGGTCCAGGATGGAAGTTGAGGGGATATGGTGACTGTCCAGCAGCATGAGAGAAGTTATGAGGAGGGAGAGAGAAAGGGAGAGAGAGGAAGCAGCACCCTCTGCCAAGTGCAGCATATAGAAAGAGCACAGAGATAAAGCCAAGGGGAGAGACTGAAGGCATCATGTTAAATACATCAGCAGTAGGATGTATTTATCTGAATGTGAGGAAGAGTGCGTCACTGTTGCCATCTGTAAAAGGAAAATGACAGGGTACAGGGGAGTGGATGGAGAAATGCAAAGGTTTGTAAACAAAAAATAAAGGGTTAATGCTTAAGGCTGGGACATGCAGCACAGAGACACTGCAACAAAGCTGAAGACCGGTTAACACACATGACAACAGACAGCGCTGCTTTCATGCAGTAACATACACTATGGGTCAAAGGTTGAAAAAAAGAACATCATAATGCCGAAATGACTTATTTGAAATTAAAATTACTTCATAGTTAATAAAAGCATAATGAGGCAGCAGTGGAAAAAGCAAATGAATTAACAAAAAGATGTTAATCCAGTCAAAGGGTGCGACAGACAGACATGTAAGCATTTTCACAGTGGAGACAAACGGCCAGTTGAAAGACAGGGCAACACAAAGCACATCAGAACAAAACAGCAGTCCTGTACATGTTACCAGAGGACGAAAACCTTAGAAGATGAGCTCGAGAATGGGCATGTCTTAAAAACAGTCACACAGCTTCATTTCTTTATCCCATGTCACTCTTTGATCATTTTTTAGGATTGACAGCAAAAAGTGTAATGCTTGATTCTACAGATATAAAACGGCAGAATTTGTCGACCAGTATAGGCAGGGTAAAAATCAACTACCGCAAGTGATTTAAAAAAGACTTTAAATGACTAGCAGAACTTGTCATGAGCTCAGAAGTGAAGCTGTGCTGAAGTTTTCATTTGTAAAAAGGCACTTCCCCTCCTCTTCCTTCCTCCCTGGACACCCACTGACCTCGAACTTGCTGCTCCAGGTTGATTATAACGTTAACGGCCTGTTGCAGTATGATCAATTTGGTCTGCGGTTTCTCATTGCTCATATGGAGCTGACACATGCGGCCCAGCTCCTTAAAAGCCTCGTTGATGTCCCGCACACGTAGCCGCTCGCGGGCGTTGTTTGCCAACCTCCGCACTTTCTCCCGCTCAGCCTTAATTTCCACTGGCAGATCTTCATCGTCATCCTCATCATCCAGACTAGCGAACAGCCAATGGCAGATGAGGAGGGAAGGAAACAATAGTTTGGGTACAGTTCACTGAAAATTACTTCCCAATTTTGGTTAGCAATAACTTTTCCTAATAATGTCAACACCTCATCAAAAAATCTAGAGTATCTTCATCACAATTATAAACACTGCTAAATATTAGGGTTTGGCCTTAACAATTAATTAAAAAAAGAGTTGGTGGTTTTGTTCATTTGTCTTTGTCCTTATGGACTCAGGTAATGTGGTTTCCTCTTTAATTCTCAATGTTCACTTTTAAGAGTAAAAGACAGTTACACTCCAACTAGTGAGATATCCAACTTGACCCTTCTTAACAGTTCAGTTTTTAAAAAGTTGATTTAGAAATTTAATAAATGCATGTATTGGAATACAACTTTGGAATTACGCTTGGTTATATGAGTCAAGCTTTTGAAGCTCCAACAGTAATTTACTGAGTGAGAGGAACTTGGAGTAAGTGTGTAAGTATTTAAAACATCCATTGTTTTTTCATTTCAAACACTTAAAGAAAAGAGAAACGTCTAAGGGAAGCTGGAACAGTAGGAATGTGACTGGTTCAGTATAAATTTTTAAAATCACAATAACACTTATGAGTAAAATAATCTTAACATGACAAATCTAATGCTACAGTGCCACTACTGTTGAAATGTTTTTATATCAGTTTAGTCTCTGTGATCTACAGTAAACTGTGACTGCCAAGTTTTTGGTTTCTTTCATAAAGCCAATGGAATTTCTTATCGACAACAAATGTGTTGCTTATATGAGTGTTTAAAGTCTTGCTCAACTTAAAATGTTGATGGGGTAAAAATATTGTAAAAATATTTTTTCTTTTTATAATTGATCAGTCTCTCCAGTGTAGCCTTCCCAAAAATTATGTCCTTAACAGACTAGTGCCCGTAAGTCTATTGTTGAAATGAATAAAAACTTAATTATATGCCATGACATCGAGTATAAACGTTATAGGAAAAGAAATGTAGACACCTTGTTCGAAGGTGGGCCTTCATGTCTTTTCTCTCATCATCTGACTTGTCAGTAATGGAGCAGTTCTCATCATCCTCCTTCTCCTCTTGTTTGATATCTGCACCACTGGATCGACTTAGGCTGCCGGGCAAGCCTGCACACAGAGTACGAAGGTATTGAGCTCTGATATTTAGAAAGTCACATACACGTATTATTTAACACTCCAATAATGGGAAAGTCTTTCTCCACATACTGACATAAAAAATAAAACAGAGGAGTAGAGAGCAACAAGTCTCACCGTTAAAACCTTCAGGATGAGAGCCTGACTGGACAGATGGGGGGCCGTGGTGACTATGCAAAAGTCCTCCACTAGAGGGCAGACCAGCAGAGTCCTCATGGTGACTGGACAGCTTAAAAAAAGCAATGAAACAATTTTTCAATTACCTTGTTGAAGTCTGAACAACAAAATAGAGATACCCGGCTCACTCTGTGCCTATTTTAATTTAAAGTTTCTAACGTCATTCAGTCATTTGTGGATAGATTTCCCCTGCTACTATTCATTTATCTCACCAGTCCAGGCAGACGACTGGCCAGTCCAAGTGCTGAACTGGTGAAGCCTGGAGGTAGCCCTAAGCCTGATGCGAGCAGGCTGTGCATTTCAGCCAGCCCTGGACCTCCTTGCCCACTGGCATGACGCTGAAGAACATTAATGGCTTCGTCCAGACGGTCCTCCATTTTACTCTGCTACAGAGAATGAAAAACAATGAACAATAAGAAAGCAGAAGGTGATGCAGCATCCTGTATTAATCTCTGTAACATACTTGAACAAAATTTTGTTGCATCTCTAAGACAAAAAAGAAAAACAGAGGCATATTAACTCACCATGGACTGAATGCCACCCTCAAAGTTGGGTGACGGCGTGGCCTGGCCAGAGGACCGAGTCCACTGGGATCCTGATCCTGGAGAAAAAGAAGAGGATCACAAGGTTTATTTAGTCACACTCATTTACTCAATCAGTTTAGCTTCTAGTACCTAAACTAACATTTTAAGAGAAGTAGTACTTCACTTTCAGCTGTTGATTTTTATTGATACAAATATATCCAAACAGATATTCAATTTTTTACCTGAGACCTGAGTGCTGTGGTCAGTCAGAGAGAAGCACTCCTGGAAATGCTCAGCTTTTCATGTCTAACTCACAAACACTACAGAGAATGCGACTGATGCACCTGGGGCTTCAGCTTGGGCTTCACTGTGCTGCACTTTTGTATTTTCTTGCTGATGTTGATAAAAAACTATATAAATTCTGACGTGAATCTATTCTTTGATGCAGTATAAGCCATTATTGTTTCATAGTACTGTGCTGATTATTATGTGATTAAAATTATGAACATAAAACATTCAATGAAAGAAATTGTAACAAATTGTACATTTTTAACATGTGAAACTAAAGTAATGAGGATATGAAACAAATACCAAAGATGAAGACATAGTAGATAAAAAAAAATTTGTGTTCTACACTTTGGCCAAAGTATGACTCAAATATGAGTCAAACCATTTCCCTCTTTCATATTTAAATAGGTTTCCTATCTATCATCTCTTTTCCCTCCAATCTTGTGCCAGCAGCAGTATTCGATGTTTGAAGTGTGTGATGAGCCAACTCATGGACTCAGTGCAGAGACAAATAGGGAAATGACCACACCCTCTTTTTATTTTCCCTTCCTCTCTCATAAGTTATATTTGGGTGGTGTGTGTGTGTGTGTGTATGTAAAGATCAAGTGAAGGTTAAGCTGTGGATGGGGGCACTCATAACAAGAGTTACACTTACAGCACGCACAGAGAAAAATACCAATGTCTGCACTATTTTCAAAATTGCTCCAAAATATGTAATACATAATAATATATAACACCAACAAGTATCCTTTGAATCTATACAGGTTAAACATTTCTTACAAGTAACTTTCTACTAAATCACATGACCTTAATGTCCACATAGTCTTGCATGCCAAACTTATCGTTCTATGTTTGTTCAGTGCCAGCACATGAAAAAGGTCTGACTGAACTCACTGACACGAGTGGGAAAAAATAATCTGGGTTATTTAAATTTTGTGAACCAATCAGATTTAATAAGAGTGGTCTTAAATTGCCGCAAGCTCATGTTTACAAGATAGCAGTCATACATATGTTATGTATTTTAACTACTATGCTTCCCTGACAATACTGATACAGAGCATAATATAATTTGCACAAGAGAAACTGTAGGTCCCTACAAAAATAAAGACTTTTAACATGTTTTACTTCCACTTTAACCCAATAGATGGAGCTACATTGTCACTATAAACCAGTCATAATCAGGATGAAAACAATACATTTCTCAAAGATTTTATCATCCCCTTACACAACAGGAAAGACCCTGAGTTGAACAAACAAAACTACCAGAGCCAGCTGACCTTGAGGCCCTCAGGAAAAACTGACTGCAGCTACTCACTCACCTGATACAGCCTGAGGAGAGCCAGAGGGAGTAGACGGGGACGGAGGGAAGGCGTTACTGTTTGGGTCTGAAGGATAGATCTGGACACAGAGGTTTTTCTTTTTAATGTAGTAAACACATATTTTATATACCACAGAAATATAGATTATAGAACACTTAAAGTTTTGTGTTATTTCAATACTACTTACAGATGCCAGGGCCTTTCCAATCTCATCACCTGAACTCCCAGGTACTGTTCCCCGATTGGCTTGATGGAGAGGGGGGGGGGGGCACAACGCATTTCAATCAGAACCTATACTCAATAACAACTTAATTATGTGACAGTATAGCATGAAAACATTAAGAGCACCTTTTTTTTTTTTTTAAGAAAAGAGCACACTTTAAAGGGTTTACCCATAATGGTGTCAGTTCCAGCGATGGGAGGTGTGTGGTTGGCAACTCCAAAGCTGCTGGAGCCGGAGTGGAAACCAGCAGGATGAGCCCCATTCACCTCACTGCCATGCAGGGGGTAGTTTTGTGGAGAGAGGGGTAGTGGCTGCCGTTTCTTGAAGGCAAACAACAATAATAATAACTTTATTTATATGCCAATTTTCTTAGCAAAGTTACAAAGTGCTTCACAGAAAAATAAAAACACTTTGCTTTGGTTTTATATTTTCATTATGTCTTCATAGAAAAACAAGTCCAAAGTGTGAGGGCAGAGCTCACCAGTCTGTCTTGGGGGTTGATGGCGGTGAAGGGACCATGCTGGTTCAGATGGGGGGAGTTGCCCAGCATGGAAGAAAAACCAGGCTGAACCATCGACCCAGCAGAGCCCCATGGATCGGAGGGCGGGTGGAGGCCTTCTGTCAGGGGGCATCCAGTGGAGGAGGGGGGAGGGAGAAGGGCAAGGGATAACCAGCCACAGGAGATGAAAAGACAATGAAGGACACATATGAGACATGTCACATTACTGTGATGACTTCATTCAACTGTGATGCACCACTCAGCACTCAGGCACCACAGGGTGTTCACTGCCATACAGCTACAGCTCCTACAGTAGGTTCATGTGGACTATTTTCACAGCCATACTGAACATCAGAAAGAAAAACAGTGAGTCATTAATATCTATGTACGTGTGCAGTACATATATCCACATTTAACAAAAGTGTCTCTCAACCCAACACAATGAACAAGGGAAGGTTCTGTGGGCAAATCTTGTTTCAACTGACCTTGCATGTAGAATGGTGGTGGGTAGACGCTTCCTGCCTTGGAGGCCGGGTAGCCAGCATTGTCCCTGTTAAAATCCTCTCCTGAGGCTGATGCATAAACCTACAGAAAATACACAGAAATACAGAGAACCTTTTCAGCTCAGTGCTTTAAAACCTAGTAAAAAAATCACCACAATACTATAAACAAACTGAAATGTGTATATAACTATAAATCTAAGTATGTATATATGGCATTTTTCTTTTGAGATAGCCTTAAGAAAGTTTCATAGGACCTTCCCTGTGCTTAGCTAGGTGGATGGTGGTGGTGAACATAAATTAATTTTCCAGTAGTACTAGTATCTGGACCTGTCCGAGTAAAGAAATAAGAAAAAAAAAGATTTATGCATTAAATAAATGATCAAGCACAGCTCTTAAAAGTATGTGTTCCTTCCAAGGAAATCTATTTTTTTATCTACTTTTACTATCTGGTTACTACTTAATTCAATAAACAGACTTCTGCAACATTTCTGCAGACTGGAGCACTGAGCACAAAGTATTGAATGTTCAGTGTCAGTGATTTTATTGGGTCCTGTCTACCATTTAGTGAGGCTTTTATGTACTATCCTGTTAAATAAAAACATGCTGAGAATGGTTTACAGATACATAATTCAATCTTTTGTAACACAGTGAGATCTGACCATATAATGGGAGCTGCAGTTGGATTTCATGAATGTCATAAGTATAAAGGCGCCAATGTTCTGAGCAACCATGCTTCTCAATCAGGACCATTCTAGACGAAAATCAAGCATCAAACTGTGTTTGAAAAACTCAAATCCAAATGGACTGAAGTTGTCTTCTGTAATTTGATTAAACAGAGAGAAAAAGGAGAGGAAAAAGAGGGGAGAGGAGAAGAGGGAACGGAGAGATGCACTCCTAATTACTGAACCATCTGCCGAATCCTGGAAGGCAGCCAACTCCACTGGCAGCTGGGATAGAGGGATGGGGGAGGGAGAGAGAAAGGGGAGGGCTGTTGTTCGTGGTGGTGAAAGAAGGGGGGGCAGAGAAGAGGAGGAAATAGGGTGCCGAGAGAGCGAAAGTGGGAGCGAAAAAATGAGGTGGAGTAAGAACCATCTAACCCCGGTATAAATTCCCTCCAGTGATCTAACGAGTATACTTGGCTGAGGGGAAGAAATGTGGCCATAAAGTAAAGGGCCTACAAACATAACACACTATAAATACATGCTGCAAATGAGTGACTGGGTGAATGAGTGGCTTTCTTCCCCATTTTTTCCTTTTTTACACTGGTGGTACAGATACACAGCTGTAAGAGTTGGATAACCTGTACTGCAGCTATTCTACCGCTCTGCAAGCCAAGCAGAGGCTTTAGATGCCAAATGGAATGTGAAAATGGGCGTAAAACATGAAAACACAGGCTCCCATGGACAGACTGCAAGAACCAAAATGTAGTTTAGGACTGCAGCATTTCTGGATGTTAATACTCACTGAGGAGGGCAGGCCAGGGGGCACCTTCCTGATCTTTTTTGGCTGTGGCTCTGAGGGGAGAGAGACAGAGTGAAATCACATAAACATACTTGTCCACACAAAGATCTTAACTTATTGCAGAAGTGAATATAAAACCACCAGTGAAATGATTCATTAAAGCAGCCCCCTTCCTTCTGTAGTCCTGCTGAGGCAATTTATCCATCTGTCTTTGTGACTTCTCATTAATGTCTAATCTAAAGGTATTCAAGACTGATAGCACTCAAAGACTTTCCTCATTGAGAACTCAGTGATTTCATTTTCTCTAACTAAGGAGAAGTGAGATTTCTCAGACACATTTTAAAAACCTCAGCAGGAGAAGTGACGATACACACCAACTTAAATTTAAATCAGAACAAAGAAAATCTGTGACAGCACATTTATCTCATGACTGTGTTCAACACTGTACTGGAAACAGTCCTTTACGCTCTTACCAATGGGGTCCTGTGAGGGTCTCCTGCGAGGGTTGCTCCCTTCATAGGAGGAATAAAACTGAGAGTTGGACTTCAGGCCAGATGGGGAGAGGGCATCAGGACTGGGCATGGGTATCTCACTGGGCATAAAGCCAGGCTAAAGATGGTGTAAAAGAAAGCACAAGCTGATGTAGTGTAACAGGACAGGTAAACAGAAATTAATATAGAAGTGACTTCAGAGTGATATAAGAAAAGAAGACTGGCTGGGGGACATAATTTGTCAAAAACGAGCACGAGGACAGAAGGGATGATACTGTGGCAGAGCACCTGCCTTTCTGACTGATTTACCTGTGCTGCAAACGATGAGTACGGTCCTCGCTCAGCCTTCCCTGTTAGGATGAAGGAATATAAAATCAGGTCATGTAGGTGAAAATTCTGTTTTTATGTCAAATTAAATCACAATCTGGCAATTTCCTTCTCTGCATTTGGGTGCCTCCCATCTGCTGTGTGAGGATATAGGATGATGTGTGGTATTTATGGCTGTGCACCGCAAAACAACAACAAATTGGCCCATTATAAATGGTTCGGGGGCAATTGTGCCGAACCTCTGTCCCCTCCCCTGACAGTTAAACAGAGGAGAGCTATAGGCCACCATAGTCCCAGGGGAGAGCCTTGTTTGTGCATGGGTGCCCTTTACATTCCCCCTCCACCCCCTCCCGTACAGACCACACAAACAAACCCCTCCTCCACATCCTCCCTGATTACCCTGCTCCCTTCATCCATCGCCACCTAACCATAAATATGGTCTGCCTTTAAGTGGTACATTACAGTCTGACCTGTGAATGGCTACTGTCTCAAACAAACAACTCATTGTTTTGGCTCAGTCACACAGTCCTTTTATATAAATGTGTATGTTATTCGAAAAACTGCCCCCGAAATTCCCCAGTACTTTTAGGGTTTAAAAAAAGAAGATGTGAAATTTATGGTGTCTATGCTTCAACAGCTTCACTCAATTTAAACCTTCTTACCACCAATCCCTGATCCAAATATGGGAGCAGATGCCATACCCTCTTGTTCACTGTAAAGGCCGTCTTCTCCATAACCCTGGGGGGAAGACAGCAGAGGATTTAGGGATATAAAAGTAAATGAAAGGAAATAAATAAATCCCAGTATTAATACTCCATTCAAACCAAAGCAACTATGTAAGAAAAGAAACTGTAGTGTATTCATGTGAATGGGTCAATTAAGATTATCCAGTTTTGCTTGGTCTGATACTGCTCTGATTTGGGATGACAAGGTCAATATGGGGTTTTTCAGCAGATACAGGGTCACTCTAATATTGCTACTGGATTACTATAAAAATCTATACATCACACATACCAAAATTCTTTCTTTTGCATTTGGGTTTGATTTAAAAAAAGAAAAAACATGGAAATCGGACTGACTGACATGTCTGTCAGAATGGTTTTTATGTACATTTTCAAGTTGTGTATAAAATAACTTAAAAATAGAGGGTAAAAAACATAGTCGAAATGTCCCAAAAAAGTTTTCAAACTTGGCTGTGGTGGAAAAGTTGCTGTAACAATAAAAAGAAAACGTGACTAACTGAACAAGTGCACTAAAAACACCACCCAAGATTAATGAGAAAGAGTGTGAGAATGTTTGTGGCAGAGTCGGTTCATAGGTTCTTCTGGTCTGGACAGTCTTAATATAATATTGTGTAATGTGTAATGCACCATTATTTTATTGTTCACTGTGAATATGTTTATGCTGATGTTGGTAGATAACATTTCCATATATGTGTAACACATTTCCATTTCTGGTCAACCCCTAAAATCTGAGCATGGAGAGTGAAACTAAGGGTGTGGACCAGGTGACTACTTGGTATTTTCTGTATTAGTTGTCAAATGCAGGTTGAGCACTTCATCATTCCACATCATACCACGTGTCTGTGTTTGAAATGGGTATACGTTACACAAGCCAGCCACACTTTTGTTGTGTTTCACTCAAGCTCAGTAGCATGAAATCTACATGGCCAGTTTCAGTGTAGTAACTGAAGAGAAACCGTACCCTTCCCTGGTTGAAAGATGGACTGTTCTGTTCCCCTGGTCCCCAGGGACTGGACCCACTCCTGTCATCTATACCTGGAAGACAAAGATGAGGCCTATTAACCACTAAAAGGCAGACACATTACTAACAGGGATTTAAGCTTTGGCTTTGGAAAACTAAGTTTAACTTCAGAGAACGATGACTTGCTTTGATACAGGTTTTTCAGGCTGCTCAAAGTAACCTCCATTAAAGAGCTTCACTTCACAGCTCACACAGAGACAGCACAGTGACAGCGCCGTCACATAACGTGGATATGAGCTGTAGGAAGTTTGAATAATTAACACCCAGTATGAAGCTCCCAGAATCATCGTCGACATTCTTCATTCTCCCACTCCACTGCTTTACATTTTCCATGGCAACAGTCATTCATCGCCCATCTATTCTCTCACATTTGGCCTACACCTTCGCCTTAACACAGGCGCAAGGTCTCAATCATACATGGCTGACACACGTTATCCCTGACCAGAGCACTACAGCTTTCAGAGAGGTGAATGTGTTTGAAAGGAGTGATTTTAAAGACTGGTGAAGCAGAAATTCCTGCCCGTCCCCTTTCTCTCAATCTCCTCTCGTACTGCTACACAGCATCTCTTGGGGAAAGCTGAAGCTTAATTGCGTACTGATTTGCATAATTGTGCATATTAATGAAGCTCAGCTCTATGAATATTCATATTTTTGTTTTGTTGTCTAATTAAAAAGCGGAGAGGGGAGAGGGGAGGGGGGGTAGAGGCGGGCTAGAATCATGACAGGATCAGCAGTAGAACAGAGTGATGGGTCCACAGCGCTGAGAGCTGCTAGATTGCCGTGACAACTGTGATCTATACACACGACACCAGCAGAATATGAGATGAAGGAGACAATGTCTTGTCCCCTCTCTATGGCTGACTGTCACTCTCCACGTCAATCAGAGACGATAAAGAAAACGCATGAACCATTCGTTTCCGCTGTAAGTCATGAGTACTCAAGAAAAGCTTCCAATTCAATTTTTTCTGTTTCTGACTGTATTAAACTTGTAGATTACAAGTAGGTTTTTTAAACATGTAAACTTACCAAACAGAAAAAGTTCATTGCATACTGCATATTTCACTGATTTTTTAATTACATTCTAACACTGTCAGCATTGAGTAATAAAATTTAACTTTACAGACGAGGAGGCCTTCTATTTTTGGGCGGACTCCAATTAAGTGGCCACATTTCACTGGCCACACACCTACATTATTCCCATGTTTTCAGAACCATGTATCTTATTAAAACAGTCAAGCTAATTAGTGAGACATGAATGTGTGGTTTTTTCCCCTTTTTGAGAACACTGATGTTGAAGGCACTAGAAAAAGCGAAGTGAACCATCACCATCCATTCCACAAATATCAGGGTATGTGCAGAGCTTACTTGCTCCACAACCATCATGTATGAGAATACCTTTCTCCACGCAGGTGATGTAAGGTTAACAGGTGTAATGCATGGAATGGGAAACAAATTTCATGAAATCAGTGGTGTGGAGGAAATAATGGGAGCTTTAATGTAAAAATGTATTATTATTATTATTATTAAAGTCCAACCTTATTAACTGTTCCTTATTAACTGACCTGATGATAAGCATATGAACAAAAATTAATGGAAATTTGAGCAGGTTTCCAGAATTTCTGCCAATAATACTGACAACTCTGCTTAATTAAGTTCAACACTAAAAACCAGTAGCGAGAGTTTACAGGGGTTTTTATTTTTCTGGTCTCTGTATTGTGTGCTTTCATTAATGTGAGACAATAATAATCAATTCCCCCTAAACACTCTATTGTGGTGTCAACTATATGAGTAAAACGATAGTAATAAAAAACATGCAAATACATATGCCTATAAACATAATACATCTGGGTCAGCTGGATATACGGATATATATTATAATGCAGGTTTACATGCCACCACAGTGCTGTTAGCAACTTTTAAGACCCATTTGATTGACTTCATTTAACTTAAAGGAGCCTAGAAAAATGAATCTAGCTGACCACACAGCAGCTGCACTGAAACAGGTAACTAGTTGCAAAGTAATCACATGTATATAGCATACATGAAAATGACATAGTTTAGTTGCTCCTGTCCAGAAATCTAGGCTTGCATAGTTTTCTCCTCCAAATTTCAACATGCATGTTGTGTCATTTCAGGTGGCTCAATAAATACGAAAGTAGAACGTGCTTTTAACAACCAATATCTTCTTTACATCTATAACCACAAACCACAGCATGTAACCTTTGTTCAAGTATGAGCACAAAGTTTTCATCAAAACTGGAATTGGATATACTTGTTTCACGTTCCACACTATCTCCAACAGGGTTTTGTTCATTCTGAGTAATTATGATGGACTAATTGTTGTTTTTCCTTTGAAGCTTTTTCAGTTCATAATGTGGTGCTTTTTATTTCATCACATTACTCCTTTGTCTTATTCACACCCATCATAGTTTTTTTTTTGACCTGTGCACAGTTGATACTTGAAGAGATACATCAGATCACAGTGCTAATCTTTATCATATATAAACAACACTTGGGCTACACAGGCATGAAATTAACATTTTAAATGATAAAATGACACAAAATTCTGTGTCTTTTTGTCATTCAGAAAAGCTGTACCACAAAAAAGTGAAAAAGTGTCAAAACCATGAGAAAACCATGAGTAGTGCAGTACTCAGACAGACTATCAGGAGTGGAAAGAGAAAAACATGAAGAAACGGTGACTAACATCAGACAAATTCTCCGGTGAACCCCAATGCACTTCTCCTCCCAGCATGCAACGCCCCTTTAAGCATGGCTGGTCTATAATTACACAGGAAGAAATGCTGGAAACAGACAGCCAGCCTGAGTCATAGGCTTCATGAGCAAAACTCTGGCACATACATTGACCAAACTTTCAGACATGTCTACGTTTTTACAGGAACACGGCCCCAGGCACCTAAAACTGAGTGTGCCATTTTGTCTACACACCTTCTTCCTTCCCTTGGCAAAGTGAGTCAGGCAGACACAAAGCATGATGTCAGACCAAATCTCAAGAGAGTGAATACTGTTAATGAAATACTGAACAATGTACAATAACACAGGCCTGGCTATTTTAACCTGTGAGTCACTGGAGACTTCTCAAACACAACACAGTGTGCCCTAACCCACTAATACAGCTAAGAGGACATTTGAATCTCTTTGTTCTGACACTGTGTGAAATTATATACACACACAGAGTTTAAACTGCAAATCTACTTGTAACTTTAACACCCTTTAGTTTCTGTAATTCACTAAGACATCTGTGTTTGAAAAATGGAACGTTTCATGCAAATTTGAAACTCCTCCCCTTCTGCATTTCAGGCCATACCAAAGTTTAAAAATACATTTTAGGATTCTCGGTTTCCAGTGACCAAAAAATGAAAGTGCTCTGAAAATTACTTTAACTGACTAGCAAAAGGGACTGAACAGGCACATGAGACCAGAGCACAGATATTATCAGCACTGAAAGCTTTAGCAGGGAGGGTCCCCATAGCCGCACAAGCTAAATCTCCACACACTCCAAACCTTAACCATACTGGGGAAAAAGCATCTAACTGATTCTACAAGGAAAACATGTGGCAGCTGCTCCACAACAAGCAGGAATACAGTTAGAAGTCAGATTCTTTGAAGCTGATTATGTGATATCGCAACTTTAAGTCACCAGACCAAACAAATATACATGGCCAACTTTCCAACATAGAGATAGACATACTTCGTACACTGGGATGACTTTTTCTCTAAAATTGATTCCTTTAGCCACACATGCTACCAGTACTGCTCTGACCAATCTGGCTATCTGAGGCAAACAGTGTGACCTTGTGCCAAATGGTAGTTTGGGAAATACACCTTCTTTCTGAGAGTGAAATGAAATGAAGATCTGAACACATACAGAAACGTAAAAATGACAAAAATGAGGTAGTAACGCACTATTTCTTGATGAGCAACAGTTTATCCATCTGTCCAACGCTTCTATGCATGGGTTGATGATACCAAACCTGGTAAGACTCCAGGAAGTCCTTGCAGTCGGCTGATGTTCACCGAAAAATAGTAACAGAAAGTAATTCCTCCTAAAGACATTTTACCTTTCTGTTTGTACCAATCAAATAAATGACCTGAACCTTATTAATCAGTAAGCTTTAGAGGTGCCAGTAGGTGATTTTTTTGTTAACTTTGGAAAGCCATTTCCTGTTGCCTCCAGTCTTGATGCTAAGCTAAGCTAACTGTCATTAGTCTAACTACACTAGTCCTAAATAAGTGTATTTCCCAGATATGTTGAACTATTCCTTTAAAGTGACACTCTACCCAAAATATCAGCGTGTCACTCACTCACCCTCTAAAAGCTTAAAAGTTGGTTGTTTCTAGTTTGCTCCGTCACAGAGAACAGCCACTGCAGTCAACTTGAAAATGTGACAGTAACAACGAATTAAAATGGTGATGTGTTTTCACAGGAGGAGGAAAAGGTGTCAAATGTCCAAAAGAAACTTTTCATACCACTCCTGCATCATAATCCACTTCACCACAGCCATTTACTCTGTATGTTTCATCATCATCCTTTTGCCAAAACTTGGATAAATACCCTGAAATATACTGAGAGGACAGGTGGATGGATGAAAAGTATTTCATGATGCAGGACTGCTGTAGACATTTCTAAGGACCTTGTTCAACTTTCTTTTCCAGCTAACAAGGGAGGGTGTTTGATACTCAAAGGAAAGCATTTGGGTCGAGTATAGTTTTACAGCAAAGGGACAATGCCATGAAGAGTCATTGGACTGATAACATCTATGTCTCCCTTTTGTAAGCCCACACCTTGCCTTGACAAAAGAACATGCAAGTGGCCCTCAAATGAATAGAAGGAACAGAACCCCCTATTCCCCACCCCTGCCAACACTTGCCTCGTCTTTCATCTTAATTAAATATCCTGTTTCATTTCTATTGCCAGCCAAAAAAGAGCTACTGCACTTCTACAGATGTGAGGGTGACAGAGAAACGTTCATGTGGGGCAAGTGAATCTGCTATAGTAGGAACAGATGCAGATGTTTTTAAAAACTAACAAATTTTTGAATATGACAGCGATACAAAAGGGCCCAGAAACACAACAAAATGAAAAACACTAGAATAGAGTATGATTCTGAGTATCTCAGAGGCTGTTTGGTTATAGTAAGATGTATGCATGTCTTAAAACTGACTGTAAGGGCTGGGATGGTAAAGTTGTTGACGAGGATGGATAACAGTGCTAGATGAAAATGAGTTATGTGGAGAAGAGGAGAAGTAGGGTGTGAGATTACAGGACAAGGGAATACACTTTTTTCACAGCGAGGAGATTAATTGAGTTGTTCCTATCACCCCTCTGCCTTGGTCCTTAAGAGATTGAATGGCAACAGCTGAGAAGGTAAGGGAGGGGACATCTGCAAGGCGAGGATGAGGAAGGGTAGAGGAGATGACACTTAATGTAAATGGCATAAAATTAGCTGACAAACCTTTTTCCAATAATCTGTGATCTGAAACTAAATTCATGAAAAGAAGAGGAGAAAAGGAGCATTTTCCTTTTCCATTACCATTCAAAACACAAGCAGTGACTGAAGGTGGGGTAGTGAGACTGGAAGAATCCCATCACGGACATGTCTTACTGTCAGGAGTTGTATTAGGGATCTTTACAAACTAATAAGCCCCCTATCAATAGCTTTAGGTGAGAGAAAAGAAGAGAAAAACTGTTTTTATTTTCTATCTTATAAAGTCTTACTGACATTTCTTTTTCGACCTGTCTTTTTAAATCAAGAGAATTTGTTCCTTAAAAATAAAACATTTATTTTATTGAAAACGCAACGAAATAGAAAAACCAGAAATACAAAGAAAAACAAAGAAATAGAAAGCCAGAAAGAATAAAAACAAAATGGATTGTTAGAAGATAGTTACTTAAGCCATATGAGTCACAGGAACAAGAAGAGTCTACAAAGTTTTTTTGTTTGTTTTTTGGTCTTACCTGAACCCCCAAACTGACTGCTGGCGAGAGTAGTTGGCCGGTTCTTGCCATTTGAAACTGGAGGCTCGAACATCTGAAATGAGAGGAATGTAACCATAAACAAACCAGTGCAAGTCCGTCTAAGACTTTGCTGAGTTGTATCCTCTTCACTTGTGCAAAGGTTGTTTAGGTGGCATTTCAAACTATCCTAAAGTGGCTGATGTACGCGCTACAGTCCCTCCAACCCTGATCGACTGACCCATTCATGGATGCCTTGATATTCATTCACATTTCAACCTGCTTGACAACAAGACTTATGAAAGTTAAAGTAATTTGTCACTCTGTGAACATAGAATGAACTGTATAGGATGCATACTCGACAAATTCAAGCAATCTTCAGAGAGATCTTACCGCGCTAAAATCCAGCAAGTCGCTGAGCTCCTTGTCTGTTTCCACTGCAGCCATTCTCTGCTGCTGTTCACTTGGCCCTTTCAGTCTCAGCAAGCGACTACAAGCAGAGGTAAGGAGAATATGAGTATATTTTACCCATTTGTAAGATGGTTAACTATTCTGACCAGCAGAGATACACAGCATATGAGCTAGATATTCCCAAAATCAAGTATCAGCCCATGTTTTGATACCTTGATTCAGATAATGTGACAACATTATAGGTTTGACTATTGGTGCTTTCTACAATATCTAATCAAAACAAAAGGAAGGTGATATAGTCTAACAACCAAAGACATAGAGCTTGAGATAAATTTACTGTTTATTCCACTCAGCAGGAACTGTGTACAAAGGTTCCAGGACAATATATCACTTAACTGTGAGGCAGCATTTAAAAAGGAAAGCTTTCTTTTTAATTTTACAAAAGAGGTCTTATTTTCATCATGTTGCTCGTCATCCCTATTGCTTCCAACATTTTACTCACCACCTAACTCACCTGCTGAGATATAAGGCAATAACAACAGTGTCAGACACAGCTTTGCAACAACATCCACATGGGAAAACCACACAGGCAATCAGTGGTTTTAAAGTCTGGTTTAACATGTTACCCAAACAACTGACTATATTATCTAAACTGCTTTCACTAGACATGAGGAGTAATGTTGAAATTACTACTCAGACTGTAAAGGCCCCAACGATTATGAAATTATTTGAGTTCAAACCTGACCTTCCATGTTTATGTTAGTACATTTCAAGTCTTCTTTTTCACGTACAAATAAGTACTTTACATATTATAAAGTGGACACGTAAGTAAAATGCAATACCCAGAGTGATTAGAAAAATCTTCCTTTATGACCTGGTAATTTTATGATAAACACACACCCAGACAATATCTACCATATTTCACATCTCCACACAGTGGGTTATGATACAAATGGATGATGACTCAAAAGCATTCAGGTTGTTCAATACAATTGAGAAAAGAGTCAATTCAAGGACATGTTGGGAAGATCAACACGCTTCACATACCCTACAACTACAATCTGTCAGCTTTGTATGGAGCGTTATGAAGGCTCAGGTAACCTTTCTATCAATGACACAGTTAAACATGAATAAATCACTAATGCCACCATCGTAAGAGAGAATTAACATTCAAGTAGCACATCCTTGCCTGAGACCATCAGAGTACTGACCAAGTAATGAGAGTTTTCCTGGTAGCGCACATCTAACATGGGTGACCATGGTTCAGCCACAGGCCATACTGTGCTTGTTAGTCAGCCCCAGGGCTCAGGCTGCTTCCTCTACCTCACAAACCAACCTGCTTTGACAGCTCTTTTGAATAACTTACAGAGTAATAACATAGCATGCTGGACTCTAAAATAGGCAACATCCTGTAAGAGCAGCCAGTATCAAAGAAAATGCAGGCCATGTGTGTAAAACATCTAAATAACGATAAGACAAGGAGGACAAACCAGCATAAACACTTTGCAATACAAAAGCACTGCAGTAAATACCAGATGGGGGAAATTACAATGGTATGACTTTGTTTGTGGTCAGAGGTGTCAATCAAAGTCAGGGTTCATTTGCGAGGCTGTAGTTTGTGCTGTCTTCAAGCAAATATACGATCAAGTGTTTTGTGTTATTGAAGGTCTACTTGTAGCCACTGTTATTCTTAGCTAATGCTCTTTTCCTGAGTTGCAATGTGCTTTCATGATTTTGGAGACATTTGCCTCGCCACTTCAAATGATATGACGTAGACCCTGTGCACCTCTGTATGTTGCTTTGAAAACTGTCTCTGGATGTTGTTTTTTCCTCCATATGTCTCCTAATTTTGGTACAAAGTAATTAATTTACTATGAGTACCAGCAATGTCGTCAGAATTTCTGGTACTACTGCAAAGTTCTGTAATGCTGGAAAAAAAAAAACATTGAAAAAATGTAAACTTAAAGAAATATTTGATAAACAACACTAAGCTATAACCACAAAAAGACTGAATCAAATACTTTGACAGTCAATCATCTAAAGCTGAGCATTGTGAGCCACTCCAATTGTACAATCTATTGGATTTTGGAATATTTCTGTTATTTTGTCCATTGTAAGTAATTAGTTCAGTGAAGAAAGGGAACAGAAAGCAGAAATAACAAACACCACAACAAGCACAAAGGATCTTAAAAAATGTGGGGAGTGTAGATTTCCCTTAGCCATGACCTCAAGTGCATTTGTGAGATGTTACTGAGATGATTTAACTACTACCCACTTGAATAACTCAGTATCATTTTCAGAGCATGACTGAAGATTTGCTTTTAGTCTAAAATAATACACTAGAAACAGAAAAAAACAATTAGTTTCAGTTATCTGAGCTATTCATGGCAACTACAAAAACATCACTCACACTTTAAAGTGTGGCCAATTTTCACACCAGTGTTCTACACACTCATAGGACTGCTGCTTTTACCAGTGATAGTCCTGAAAATATTGTGACTAATCTCACTACTCTGTTTATAATCCAAGTAAAACCATGACAAACACAACACCAAAAATCAACAATTTGTCTACAGGGATAACTCACAGAACAAAATAACAACTGTGTCTCATTCTGGTGGCATGAAAGGATGCTACCACTGGACTAATGGAAAAGCAATGTAAATAGTGGCAAAACGGCTAATGATAACACAGTTAACGAGCAAATGTTATTTAATAATAATCCAGTGATTTCTCAGTGAGCTGAGGTCAAAATGGGGGATAAGTGTTTCGCCCCTCCTAACAAATGGAAGTTGCATAGGCTTGTCTTGAGCACCCCCACCTTCGGCCTGCCCATGGAGAAAAGTTTTAAAGTAGAAATGGCCACACAACATCTCAAAGCTAGCGTCAAACAAGGACACTGTCTGTTATCTAGAGCCTGTGTTTTCATGGCTGGTCGGTAGGTTAAAAACCTGCGGGACGTTTAAAAGGACCTTAAAAAACCTGTTGCCTGCCCTCACGTCGGGCAGGAGAATGAGACATCGATGAACACAAAGACTCGGGCCACCAAAGTTTCAGTTGAGTGGTAAAAACACAACAAAATCGGAGGAAATGTCACAATTTCATTAAAGAATCCGTCCAACCGTATTTTAAACAGTGCAGGGTGGAGAAAATAAGAGTTTAGCTGCATATTTGTTGTTTGTTTCAGTTTGGTTTGTTGTTGGTGAAGGTGGAGGTGGGTAAAAATAACACCCCCAAGTTACACTTTTAACACGGGTTTTATTAACCTTATACAATTTTGTGGTTTCAGCGTATTGTTAGTGACCTAGGCTGAGTTAGTCAAACTCTAAAATCTTGATAACAGGTGGAAGATATTGCCAATTTAGCCACAGCCAGGACTGTTCAACAACAAATCAACAACGTCTGTCTACGTTAACGTTTCACGGCTAACGTCCATGCATTTGTTTCTAGAAAAGCTACATAGCCCACTAGTGCTTCAGACAGCTAAATCCCGGAGGGAGCTAACTCAGTCTGGCAATATGCTAATGTTCTGTAACGTTATAGCCCATTGAAGTGAACAAAGAAGTCTTTTCCACCCCACACAAGCTGCTGGTACTCAGTAATAACACTGCAAGTTCGCTCAGGCCGAAGGGACGAAAATCCAAGACCCCGCTTTTCCCGGCTGAGGCACTCAGCGCAACTTGAACGATGCGCTTAAAACTTGATTATTACTCCGGTAACAACGTGACAGACAACTTCTGTTTGACATGCATATCTTTGCAATGAATGTGTATTCATCCCAACATTTACCTGGATTCAGTAATGTGGCATCCAACAGGGAGAAATGAACGGCTGGAGTAGAGAGAAAAACAAAGTTAGGGATAGGATCCTTCCCCCGTGGTCCGGACTGTGGGCTTGATGAAGATGAGGAAAGGCAATATGAACCACTCCTCCGCCGCCTCGTCTCGTTGCTGTCTTCGTCACGAAACTGAAAACACGTCTCCAACACGAACCATAACTCATGTGTTAGTCCGTTTCCTTATTGTTAGAGAAATAGTAACCATTTCATTTCCCAAGTAGACATTTTAACAACCTCCACATTGTCAGTTTCAAGTATCACTCCGCAGCACAGCCCACGGGAGGACATGGACGCTTAAAACATCAGCGGTGTCCAATTTCAACTAAAACGAAGTAAACAAACGAGGCAGGTTTCGACAGTATTTGTATTGATGCGGTGATTGTGTTAAATACTTCGAAATGTCACTGTTTGGTGCCTGCGAACGAAACACCAGGACGACCCGAGTATCAATTCGCGGGGATCTATGTCGTGTGGCGGATGAGGACAGCGGAAAGCCTAACAGACCAGACCAGTAGAAGATGGAATGATAATATCAGAGGGAGGACCAATTGGATACGACGAACATTTGATTGGCAAGCAGGACGTCCAAATATGTTTCAACATCATCCTCTAGGGCAGTCTCATTTTGCCTGCGGGTTGTTGCGTTTTAATTCTGTTCTCAAACAGTGCCTGAGCTACAAAAAATGTTCATCCTATGTATGAGTGTCAACGAGAGATGGGAGTTCACCATGCTTCGTTATGTGAAACGTGGATAAGATTGTAAGAAAGTTTAAGTGCGTTATAATTGACTATAATGTTTAAATTCATGGCCAAAGACACCTAATTATGGGGTGACTTTGCTATTACTGCATTAAAAAATATTGCCATAAAAAGTTACACTCATCACAATAGCCTATGCAAATTATAATATGAGTAATCATGCAATATTAAATATCATAACGTATTAACAATGACATTTTTGGGAGACAACACATAGTTTGACATTGTTATGAAAACATCCCTAAGAAATTATGATACTAATAAGTGTCCTACATGTATAATAATGTTTGCAGACTTGTAGTTATTAAATGTCATCTTGTATTCACAAAACCCTTTTTGTCCAGTAGTTTTACTTGAGGCCATTGTTTAAGGAGGAAAAACATTTGTATTGTATTTACAAAATGTTAATGAATACATCCCTGAAAAATATTTATAGCCATCACAGTTGCCTACATGTATGATAATATTTACATATTCTTCTTCATATATTTGTCCAATAATTTTAGCTTAGTGTTTGGAGAGGAGGGGAAACCACCTGCAATTAGAAAAGCTCTCACATGTTGAGTAGAAAAAAGTAATTCTACAGCCACTTCCTTTTCTCACACAGGAATCAAAAGCCTGAGTTTACAGCATGAGCCAGCATCATTGAGAAGGCCTGGTTGCTGTTTTTCTTGAGTTTTTCATTGGTGGTTATGTAAACAGGGCTGCAGTTAATGTCAGTGTTTGTTTTGAGACTTTCTAGAGAAAACCTCAACTGGTTTGAGGGGAAACAACCTAAATAACATCTGTGCTGGCCTTTACGAGAAAACTCAGCCATCCACTTTGTGGTTCACAACACACACACATGCTCAGCATGCATTGCACACATGCAAGTCACACCTGTATGCCATTAACAATAGGACTAAGATGTTTTAGAACTAAATAAATATAAGAAAACCGAGTGCCACAGAATATTCAGCTACAGAAACAGACAATGCATGCTTTGCATTGTTAAATACAGTTGGAGTTATATGAGTAAGGCTACAAGGGTGCAGCTCATCTCTACATATTTTTGCAACAGGGTAAGGAGCATTGAGTCAGTGTGAGCACATCAACCTCATTATGACAAAACTGGTCTCATGTCACAGATTCACTTGTGAAGCTCCTACAGTACACCTGGGGAAAGCTGGCGCATGTATATGCCATGGAAGTGATCATATCTCAGCTCTACACGAAACATCAAACAATGTTTGGTTTTTTGCCTTTTAAAAAGTAGGACGAACGGCATGGAGGCAAAACAACATCAAGGTTGAACGGTAAGGCACAAGACTCAAAAAAGCTATATTTAGAGTGGAACTCCATTTTCTTAACCCCAAAGTGTGTACCCTCTTCTCCACCCACTCTTTCCTGGGCTCTTTCTTCTTAGACAAGAACTATAGCTTTGTAAATGGGTTACCCCCATGCAGCCACCCACGCATCAGGTACAGTATGAAAACCTGGGGCATCCTGTTATGACTTCTGGTTTCCTGTTTCCTGTGAAAAATACAGCCCCCCTCTCTTTCAAACACACTCTCTCTCACACACACAAACACACTCATGCACTCCACTGCTGATGACAGACCAAGCAGAGCAGGGCTGGGATCAGTCATTCCAAATACATTAGTTGAAGTGTTTGAACTGCTGGCTCAAGTATTTAGAAATGTATTCCATATAAATATCACACTGCCTGTTAGATTCAGTAAATGATACGGTGGCATGGTTTCTCATATTAGATTTTTCTCATGAAGACTTAATTCAGTATTTTAGTCAATTTTTTAAATGGGTATCAGAGACAGAGACATTCTAGTGGTCAGCGTTCAGCCTTGAGAAATACATAAAGCTGCAGTATTCTGAGGGAGTCAATATGCTTTAAGGTGACATGAGCAGCTGTTTCCCCCATTCTTCACATCATTTAATTTGTTTTTATTTCATGTATACATATTCTCATTTCACATGCCAGGGAGGAAGATGTACAAGTGTCAAGGGACCACTGAAACAGCAATAACAGCAGTGTGTGCTCGTGTGTGAACGGCAGGCCCCCGTTTGCCAAAAATATGAAAATAACACTGTTTGTGACACACAACTTGCCATCGCTGCACACCCCCCGCCAAGATACCTGAGCATCTTTCTCAACAGGGGTCAGCCACATCACTCTTAATGAGCAGAAATGTTTCTACCTTCCTGCGGTGGCTCTAGTTTGCCATGCTAAATGCTCAGTGACAGTGTGCACGGTTAATTGTCTTGGCACAAACTCATAGCCCCATTTCCCCATTTCCACTCTTTTATGGCTCTTTTATGTTGTGGCTTTTGCTGGTGCTGAGAAAGAAATTTTAACATACTTGCTTAGTGCATTTTCCACACAAGATTGTTTTGTATCAGTTTAGATGGCGGTTGTCATCTTGTTTATACTTGATGTGTCAAACAGCAGCATGTTCAGTGGTTTTGTACAAATCAAAGCATCATTTCTTTCTAATCAGGCCTTTACATTTTATAGAGCCTTCACTCACTTTTCTGTCTTTTTTTTCACAAGAAAAAGAAAAAGCACAATAACATCACGTTCTTTTTTCTCATTTTTAGCTCATCATCCCCTCCCCCTTTCGTGCGGATTGGAATTCATTAGCAATCAAAGAGCCACTGACAAACGCCCAATCTTAATTACCCTCTCATTTGCATATTTGCATATTAATGACTGCAGACTTTGCTGTTTTTCTGGTGCAGTAGTCCCCCTCCCATCAACGTTGCACAGACTTAGCCACCCAACATACTGCAACACTATGTCTTTCTCAGAGCTCAAGGCCTCTCACTTTCACGCTGAAGTTGACAGACATTCAGAGGGAGACATGTCATCACATCACCAGACATTAGCCAAACAGATGAATCACTCTGCTTGTAATTCAAAGAGGACTAATGTATCGTCAGTGCTTTAGTTCACTTCCCTTGCCTCCTTTCAGTATTATGTATTAGTTAACTTGGTTGCAACATTGTACACACACCACTCAGCCAGGGTATATTCTCATATCTCAGTTTGGTAGCATACTTCAGTTAGTAATTGTATCAGAGGTCCTCAGTGCTATGCAGTTAATATGCTGCCCCCGTCTGGTCAGACAAGTGTAAGACAGAGAAGTAATATTCCAGCAAATGAAGACATCATATTCAGATACTTCAATACATACCATTTATTGACAATTATGACTTTATAAAGACAAAGCCTTTGATGATCTTACCATAAAAAACATCTATATTTTTTAAACTGTTACTGAAAGGAGAAAATACACAAAAAGAACAAAACAAAGGAGTGAAATGCCCTAATCCTGCCACTACACAGGATGCACTTCAATGGCAAATCCATGTCCTGTTGTTTACATTATAGTGAATACAAAGATATTACCATTTGTTTCAGCTGAGACTGCTCAGCGAGTCACAATGCAGCTTGCTAAAGAGTTTTGTTACTGATGGTACCGTCCAGAGCTGAATCTCTAGTTTCTTTTTCAAGGGCAGCGTCTGCCCCAGCATAGCTAATCTGAAGCTAATGATACTGGAACAAACTGAGGATGCTGTTTAAAGTTACTAAGAAACAACCCCAAGATATAGAGAGAGCAGAGGGTGCATTTAAGGCTGAAACCTTTTTTTTTTGGCTATGACATGAGTGTCATGCTAAAATGTTTTAAACACTGTGCTTCACCTCAAGACATCTCAAAATGTAGAAATCAGTTATCTCAACAAATGCAAAACAATTCCTAGACTCAGTCATCTCTTGCTAACACAGACGAACATAACCTGACCTGTTCAGTAAAATAAACATTTCTCTGTGTTTGCATATCACATATAAAAACAAATTCATACATGTATCTGCCTGTACACATGTACAGATGCTTAACCTTGATTGTAATAACTGGGATTGACACACTCGTGCTGTAAGCCTCAGAACACTTTGGAGAAATTCAGACAAGAAAATCAAAAAGCTGAACTAAAAGAGAGACATGTTAGAAAACTAAGCACAGCTATTATATTTGTTTTTAAATTCTTTTAAGAGATAAATCTTCCAGTTTGGATACAGTATATACAGTCTGTATGACTGCAGGGCATTGAGGTAAGGATGGACAAAAGCCTACTGGTATGTTAGTCTCCAAGGAGATTTAATGGCCCACAGTCCTGAATTGAACTTAACACAAATTACTAATAACTGATGTTCTCCATGTTGCCAACAAACATTCAGAGGAATTATGTTGTAATTGATTTAAGAGGAAATTTTCATGGATAACAGAATCCCAGAGGACTGACTCCAAAAAAGGTACAAGTTCTAAATAGAGTATCCTTCCCATCAACTGGCTTGAATGTCAGCAGTTGATTTGATAACTGGAGCCTTTAGGGGTTCACCTGAGGGAGGATGTGGCAAACAAGATGTTTATGTGTGGGTGTACGGTCTTAGGCAGCAGCTTCTCTATGTTGTTATAT